AAAAGTCTTCTCTGCAGGAGGCCGAAAAGGACATGACGAGGATCATGTCCAAGCAGACGTCTGGTGTCGCAGAGACGCCGACCAAGTCCAAGAAGAAACGCCCCAGGGGCAGCTCTTCGAGAAGGGTGGCCCGCAAGAGGGCCCCTAAGGACAACGCTCCAGATTCTGTGCGGCGGCATTTGGACTTCGGGTTTGAGGGTGACGATGCTCCGGACTCCGGATCCAGAGCTGCAAGGGAGACAAGGATGGAGGCTTCCCCTGCTGAGACATCCGGCGGAGAGGATAATGATCTTTTCGGTGGGCAGTTCAAGCCCAGCAGACGCACGCCACCCGCTTCTGCTAAGATGGCTGCGAAGCAGTCCGGGTCTGCCAAGAAGAAGCAGAAGACGAAGACTGCCTCCGAGGAGGCAGGGTTGGAGCATCAAGAGCCACTTCAGAAGGGTGACGTGGACGAGGCGAGTGCGGAGGATGATGATTCGCAGTCCTCCGGCCAAGAGGCCCCTGAGCCGACGAAGGAGGCCTCCACGGCTGGAAAGGTTGTAGAGCCCGAGCTGGTTCGCCTGCTCACGGCTTCCACTTCCTCGTTTCTCGATGTGAGATTAAACCTCCCAGGGAGGGTTGGGTCGGGTGCCGCTGCAGCTGTCCGTAGGAAAGGCCGTGCCAGAGCTTGCGTCATTGATGCGGTTTGAGGCAAGATGTGCCAGTCTTTGTCAAGATTCTGCAAGCTGAAGAGCTGTTCAGCTTGAGCGAAGCAGCGGATCTTCTGTGCGAGATGGATCCAAGCCACTTTGTTCGGAGCGGTTTTACGGATACTTGAGCCGCGAGTTGTGAGTAACAACTGAGAGCTGCCTCCTCTGTTCGCTAAGGTGAGTTCGTTTCCGGACTGGGTCTGATGGCCCGCAAGGCATACAGCAATCTGACCTTGAAAGGCAAGAAGGCCCTTAAGGCTTGGCCTCAGATCCTCCAGGAGCTTCCTGCTTCCTTCGCTCTTCATTCAAGCCCGTTCTTCGGTCCGCGTAATTTAACGTGCTTCTCGTAGGAGCACATGAAAGCCAAAGAGACGTGAACAAGACGAAAACTTCTTCGAGCTTTATCTCCGCTTCTCACTGCACTGAGCCGGAGAGATTTTGAATCAGCTGAATGGCTGCTTGCACGCTTGTGAGATGGTGCTGAAACGTGAGAAAGGCTGTGGTTGCACGCAGTGTCTGTCTCTCCCATGGCACTTGACGGAAACTTCTATGAAGAGTTGACAAATCATTGCCGTTTCTTGCTTCATGCAGCGGTGCTGTCTGAAGATCGTCCGCAGCTTTCTGACACTCGTGAGAAGTGTCTCAGTAGCTTCAGTAGATGCGAGTCTGGTGGTCTGTAGCTACCATCGATGAGGAAGTGTTGCAGTAGTACCTTGCCAGTCCTGAGCTGCCTACTCGCAGAACATGTCAGTCTCATGCAACTTCAGTTTAACTATCGTTTCTGTCGCCACCCTGCTGCCTTTGCTTGATGGCCCTGCTCTGCGAGGCTTGAGATCGGA